TTCTTATTCATAATACATTTTATGAGTAATTAACCTCGCTTTATTATTGCATAAACTCATGTTTTAATACTTTTATCTTTTGTTTCCAGTATTCATTTTTTCCTTTTATTGCTTGATGTGTTAAATCTCATTATTACAAATTCATAATTATATATAAATATTGGTGAACATTATAGTTATATTCGTGTGTTTTAGTTGAAGTGCATGAAATATATATGATAATATAATAACATTAGTTGGTATTAAAGCATTATTGTGGCTAGCCGTACCGACAGTTTCTCAGAGAAATCATTGAATTTCCATGGGATTGATGTCTACATTCCTTATTTGAAGGTGTCGTAAGAAACCGACTATATATAAATATAATGCAATATTATATTAATAGGTAGTGTTAAAATAGATTTTATACATATAAACATACGTAATATTGTTAAATACAGATATCTATTTATAATTACACGATTTAAGTTACATTCATAATATTAAACATTTGATACTCTTGTTATAAATTTTATTATTCATGAAATAAATTCTCTCACATTTTTGTTCATACTATATGCCAACTTTTCTTTGTCGTTAATAAATATTCATTATTTACTGAGTTTGATTTATAAAACTTGACAAATTTTTATATAGCATGTTGCACTCAGTCACTCGGAGGACCATCTTTATTGGATAAGACTTTCCAATTTTAGATTTAGTTTTGGTATTTTTTTCAATTTCACATTAGTTATTATAATTTTTTTTAGGGACTAGATAGTTTTTTTTATTACTATTTTAGTTTATTTCTCTTATTTCTTAATTTCTTAAAATTTTCTTTGCATGGATACAATTTTTCCTTTTTGCGAATACAAAACCTGTTCAAATCTTTTCATGTCATATGTTGACGGAATGTGCCACATTCCAGACTCGGGATGTGACATTATCTACAAAAAATTCCTTAGCTCGAAGCTTATCTTTGGTATTAAAAGCCATGTTGAATGATCTTCCACGTGAAGATGGCATATTTAATGCTATAGTTTTTAAAACAAATAAGATTATTCCAACTGCCTCATTGATGTTAGCATAAAATGCCGAGGATAAATGCTTGGAATGAAGCTCTTCTTTGTGAAACCAAATCAGAGGTAATTTATCATAGCTAATGGGAATTGAAGCAATGAAGTGAGGCAATCTCCACCTACTTGGTCAGAAATCCTAGAGAGGTTCCAATTATCATTAACAATAATATCAGCCACTTTAGATTTTAAAGAGTACTGAAACGGTTCAAATGCCTGGCTGCCCAACATATAAAATAAAGATTTCCATGAATCTACATATCCTGAAAGAGAGAGAGAGGGATCATAACTCCAATTCAAAGATAAAGATATAAATGTCTTGAGATTGATGATGATGAGCTTTAATTTTTTCCAGAGCATGGATTGGTTTGGCTCCCAGATTGACCCATAGAGGTTATGAAAAAAGGAATTCAAAATTGATTTTATCATTATAAATCCTATTGAAAATCTTCGCTTTACAAATGATATCCATAATGCCCAAAGAGTAACACCCAAGCTCAACTTTAGACTTTTTGCAATGTGGTGATATGCCATGAGATATTATGGCTTTTATTCTCGAAAAGTGCCATGAAGGAGGAATTTGAAAATCATGGAGTTGATTTTCTTGATAACGCTCTTGGGTATGATAGACGATCTAAGCCAATAAATAAGATAATTCCAAATTGAATTTAATAAATGGTAATCTCCCAGAGAAATAAAGCTATTTTTGACTCAATTCAAATCAGTTACTAATCAAGCGCAAGATCAAGGTGTATTATCAGTCAATAAAGTGAATTGACGAAATAGACAAATATAATAATATGTGTTTTGGATGCAAGCAAATCAAATCTTGAGAGTTTATTTTCTAACCTTAATTGTACATGTTCAAATCACTAAATTTATATTCAGAAATTTATGTAGAAACCACACAATTCTTATGTATTTACATATCTAAAATCTATACATGCATATTTATATTTATAACAATTTAATGGCATAAATATACATATAAAAGGAGTATTTTATTTTTAAAAAGTAAGCGATGGTGATATTGTTGATGTTAGATTAAAGATTTGAATGGAATGTGTGTGTATGTGTGTGCGCGTGCGCGCACCCAAAAACAGATGTTAGATTAAAGATTTGAATGGAATGTGTGTGTGTGCGTGCGCGCACCCAAAAACGATCAGTATGAATCTCGAGACAATCTAACGATCCAGATAAAAAAATAGTGACAAAAAGTTACAAAGCATCATGAATCTGACCAGCCCTCTGGCGGCCGACAAGCTCCTAAGCGATAGGTTTTGACTACCAAAAAGACTAGAATACCCTATGCAACTCTCTTTAAAGCAATGAAAATTATGTTATTTTATATTTGTGTCCTTATAGCTTCTATAATTAAGTGTGTCCTTATAGCTTCCATATATAAGTGGATGAAATGTAAAAGAACTAGAATACCCTATGCAACTCTCTTTAAAGCAATGGAAATTATGTTATTTTATATTTGTGTCCTTACAGCTTCTATAAAAAAGTGTGTCCTTATAGCTTCTATATATAAGTGGATGAAATGTAAAAGGGACTTTTTGGCTCTTATCTTTCAACCCCTCTCTTGCAGGGAGAACTTTCTCCTCTGCCGAATGCAGTCCCTACATTCAAGAAATAAAGGGGCCAAAGAGTCCAAGAACACCCCTCTTCACCCCTACAGGGCAAGTCTAGTTGTTTTCTCTCTCTCTTTTTCTCCCTCTCCCTTGGTTGAAACGTTTGATTTCTTAGGTGTGATCCATCAGACAAATCTGGATTCAACAATATATATATATTGAAGTGTCGAATATGTAAATGTATAAGAATTATGTGGTATGTATCTAAATTCCCCATTTATTTTTGTATCTAAATCCATTTGTTAAATCTATCTAAAAAAAGAAAAATCTACTGCATATTCTGCTCTCTTTGCCATGTCTAAAAAAATTTGATTGCAGAAATACGAATTAACTTACAACCAAAAGCAGAAAACTAATTAGCTGGAAAAATAAATTCCTACATTGAATCTATTAAGCGTCATCTGGTAGGTAATAAACCCACAAAAACGTGAGAACCACATTACTTGCCAAACATATCTATACTAAGATGATGAAATGATTACATTATAACTTAAACAAAAAGAAAGAATTAAACAAACTGAAGACCATAAAGATATTAAAGTTGAGAATTTTCAACCTTAACAGCTTTGAAATGAGGATGAAGCAAACCAAGACCATCCTTGACATCCAGTGGATTTGCAGTCTCATTCCGAACCCTCTTCACCTTCCTGCTTGTCAATGATTTGTGATTAAACCCGTACATCTGCAAAATTTGATTGTCTCCAAAATTGAATGCCCTGTCCATTTGCTTAAGGCATCGTTCTACGGGGTAGTCTCCAAACTTGCCACAGGGCTTGCAACCGACAAAATGCGTGACCAGTGGCCACCTATGGTCCCCAAGCCCGGGGTGGTAATTCTCCATCATCTCCTCGTACCTATCCACCAGAATTCCCCAGTAGCCGTGAAGATAGTACGCACTTTCGAGGTAGACCTTTTCGGCCCACCGATCCTTCTGGGTTACAAGGAGGTAAACCATGGCGGATTGGTCGTCTGCCTCGAAGACTGGCCTGTCTTTAAGAAAATTGGTCAAAACTTTGCCAGCATCCTCTCGTATTTTGCCCTTTGGACCCATCGGTGCCCAGGCGTCGAGAAGATCTAACGACCACTGGGAGTTTCGTAGGAGGAAGCTGCCGGTATTGAGGCCAATCCAATTGCGATCGTCATAGACCATCTCATTCCAGCCGTGCATAACGAGGTTGAAAGTGGAGTAGCGTTCCCAAGGAAGCTCAAAGACCATGTCCGTGAACATGGCATCGGAGTCCATCCACCAAAGGAACTCAACCTCCGGGTGGGAGAGGAGGAGCTTGCGGATAAGGGGGAGCTTAGCCCAGAACCCAGCCATTTCGGCGTCGAGAAGCGCCATGTTGTAGAAGATCTCGATGCCGTGTACGCGGCAGTAATCGATCTTGTTTTTAATCGATTTCAAGAGGTAGTGGTCACCCACAGGGTTCTCACAGGGCTTGGGCGAAGATCCGGTTACTAGAAGGACTCGCGGCTTCTTTGGCGTCAAGAAATTAGGGTTTTCCGGATGAGATTTGAGCCATTGGGCTCGCTGCTCGTCCCAGTCAGAGATCTTGGGCCCTAAAGAGTATGGTCTTGAGGTATCCCTCGGATCGTCCTCCTCCATGGAGTTCTCCTTACCGGTGACGGCGTTGGATGCGGACGAATGCTCCTCTATGAGGATGCGATGGGGAACGGAAAGTTGGCTCGAGTGTAGTCGGTGGCGGATCTCGTCGAAGTCCTGCACTGGAGTGCCGAACTTGCCTGCGCCGATGGTGCCGCGCAGGACGATGACGGTCATGAACAGGCAGAGGAGGGTAAGCTTTCCTCTGCGAAAAGCACGCTGGATTTGCCGCGCTCGCCGTTCACTGAAGCAACGCTCCCACATTTTCAGAGAACTCAGGCGAGCCTCTCTCAATCGCTCGGCGGGATCAGGCCAGGCTTGTCCACCGCACGGGAAGAATCATAGGAACAAAAACACAAATAAAACGCTCGGACGGCTGGCAGGCGAACAGTTGGCATGTTCTTTTCTTTCGAGGGTGGTTTATTTGAAATATTCAAAATTTTGATGATTAATTTGTTAATTATGAAATTTTAGGTTGGTGAAAACTTTTTCTTTTGCTTTTAAATGTTCAGCAGTATATTGCGGTAGGTGACGAGAAGCTTCTCACCGTCATTCCAGCTTCCGATTACCAATTTCGAGTTTATTTGATCCGAGCTCGATCTTTGCTCTTAATTTTATAGTAGGGGGTTTAGGGCCCATTTGGAATCTCATTTTTGCTGCTGTCGAACGCAGAAGAAGGAGAGGGCGTTTTCGCGGCTCCGTTGTGAGGTGCTTTTGATGTCGGCATCCCTTCAGATTTCCAGTAAGCTCACTTGCTTTCATATATCCTCGCCTTTGTCCTCTTTTGTCACTCATACCGTTAGGGCTAAATCTTGGTTATGTTTCCCTCCCTCCATTCGGCACTGAAGACTTGCTGCAACTTTCGAGTGAATTTTTCTTTTCTAAGGATTTTTTTTTTTTGTGGTTCATTCGTTGCCTGTATATGTGTTTCTTATTTTTTCTGTGAAGTTTTTTGTGTTGTTGATCTGCATATGTATCCATTGATGTTTGATGGTTGATTAGCTTAATCTTTCGCATGTATATTCATAGATAAACATTTTGTGGAGAGATTTCTGAGCACTTATTTATTTTTTCTTCTCATATTGCATTTGTTTTGATGCAAGAGTGTTGATGTTTATTTTTACTTGATCAAAATGTGGAGGCAACACCTTATGTCATGAGTAGTTGCCAAACTTCATGCATACTCAACTAAGGGTCCGCTTGGAGCCTCTTTTTTCGAGCGGCGCAGCCCCAGATCGTGATGCTCTTTCTTTTTTTTCCAACTTTCGCGCAACCTTGCGGCCTGTCGCAGCTAAAGTATGCGGAAAGCGGGCGTTCGCGATTAACATTCCCCCCACTGCCCCGCTCGAAGCCGCAGCACCCTTTTGTTCCCGAAACCCGCTCCGCGATTTTTATGCCCTAGCACGCCTCTGCTTCCTCCCCCGATCCTCCCGTGAAGCCTCCCGACGCTCCTCACACAGCTCCTACCGTGAAGCCTCCCACCGCTACTCCCCACGCTCCTCCCCCTGCTACGCCTCTGCTCGTCTTCAACTGTTGTGTGCACTCCTGATCGGTATTTCCCCCCTAATTTTTTCTGCATAATTTGTTGTTGTACTTCTTCTTCGTTTCCCAAACACTCCTTATTGTTGGAGTTCTTTGTGCATTATCATTTTCCTGTTTAACTAATGGTTCATGTGAGAAGGTCTCTTTGGGAGCAGAGAAGGGCTGGTGAGTGCTCTTGGTTCTTGACACCATAAAAAGCGAATTGCTGATAAAAATAAGCTTTCTCAACAAATAAAAATGAAGAAAGAAGAATAAATAAAAGAGCTACCTAATAAAAAAAAATTAGTTGATGCAATAAATGAACAAATTGATTAACTAAGAAAAAGTTATTGTATAATGGGATTTAGGTAAAAAATTAAAGTATATTACATAACAATAATTAATTAATTACCTAGCAATTACATTTGTTACATATTTATTTTGCTTATGGAGTTTTAAAAATTTCACTATTTCAATCTTCTTTTAAACAGTTTTATCAAACAAGGACAGAATGATCATTTTTTAGAAAATAGTTGTTCTGCAGTTGTTTTCACGCAGTTGCACCAAACAAACAGTCAGTTCCCCGCAGCTGCTTCTCCGCAACAGCTTCCTGGGGCAGCACAGCTGCAGCTGAAAAGCTGAGAAACTGCAGCTGCGCCAAACAGAGCCTAAGATTTCTCATGGGCATGCCATTTGAATGAAATTCTAGATAATTTGTTAAGAGATGTTGTAATCATTTGTAATATGAATGTGTAAACATAAAAAATTAATTTGGAGATTCACTTTTTCAACTAGGATTATAAATATGTTATTTATTAAATCATTTATACCTAAACCTGAACCACTAAAGAAGCGTTTTATGAACTTGAGAGATTATCACTTTTCAAATTAGTCTTCACTAATTTTTTTTAGTTAAAATAAAAATGTATTCATGGAAATACTTTTCGTACCAGGAAAGATCGTATTAGAAAAACTCCAACTTAATCAAATCCTAAGACCACAAAGTAAGCCAAATTTTAGAGCTTTGAGATCAGAGTTTTGTTTACTAAGTTCGGAACCATATACCTTTACACCATTAGCCAAAAAAAAAACCTTATTTTGTTCACTTCAATAGAAATTTTTTTTAACTATTTTAGTGGCCAAAGTAAGGAAACAATGAAATAACTTAATTTTTTTGTTTATTTAACAAACAAAACTTGAACTATTTCCACCAAAAAGTGCATGAAAATATTTCTTATATTATCACTAACAAGATGTAATTGTAATCTTATCAAAGTGTCATTTTCATCAGTATTGCTCAATTTCATCGATACTTGATCAATCCTTCTTATAAACAGCCTTTTCTAATCACATCTATATATATTGTCAATAGATATAGACAATCATTCATTTTGATTGTGGATAAGAGTCAACGAATGATTTGAATATTCTTAGTTCCATAAACAAAGGTTATAAATAGGCCCCTTAAATAATTTAATTAGAAGGCATAAGTTTTAAGCTTTTAAAAATCACAAAAATAATCTTGAAAAATCTTTTTTATTTACACACAGTAAAAATTAAATTATCTTTTTTATCCTTCAACCCTACTTTAAAACCTTATAAAATAAATACTTTTGGAATATAAAGATGTGCTAAAAAAATATTGAAATTCTTATTGCAAACCCCTCTAGTCATAGCAATAAAAAGAATAATGCACGGCATTGAAAAGAATGTTAGGGAAAATTTGAGTGAGAAAATAAACTAAACTAAGAATTTTTTTAAAATCTCTGGCCAATGAATTACATTTGAGGCCAATTATCATTCCATTTTGTCTTCTTATTTTTTTTTCATCAATATAAAGTTTACTCTATGTTGGATGAGTGGCTTTACACTTAGAGACAAAATGTGAAATGAATATATATGTGATAGGGTATGTGTAGCCTCTGATAATCCGATTAGGAGAGTAGGTGTTTCAGATTCGACTTTCGTTAAGAAGGGTAGAGGTAGACCTAGGATGATTTCGGCTTATTATATAAAAAATGATCTTAATTTATTAGAACTGAATGAAAATATGATTGTAAATAGGACTCAATGGAGAAAAATGATTCATGTAGCCGACCCCAAGTAATGGGATTAAGGCTTTGTTGTTGTTGTTATATGAAATTTACTCTATGAAATACTTCTAAACATGACTTTTTGGTTCCATGCAATCTAATTTTATTTACTAAACAAATTTTGTAAAAAGGAACTCTAAGAATCAGAAGAAAGATGTTAAAATCATGATTTTAAGACTTTCAATTGTTTTCTAGAAATTCAGCCAAAGAGACTTCAAAAAATAAGTATCCAATCAAGCAAATAATGTCCAAGTAGCAAGATAAAAAATAAGAATGTATATATATATATATATATATTTGGTATATATATATACATTCTTATTTTTGTATGAGTAAAATATAAATAATAACATTTGCATAAATAATACATGTTGCCACTAAATTTCTTTTTTTAAGATCATTCAGGAAAGTCACTCAATTATACATGAAATGTCAATGATAAAAGATTTATTTTAAAAAAAAGGTTTAATCAGAGGGTTATAAAATAACTGAAGTGGGAGACACTCTTAGCATTGGTTATAAAAAATCATTTTTTATCATTCTATATGATTTGTCATTCTAATGGTGATATGAATATTAAAATAATATTATAACAAGCTACTCTAATAGCAACAGATGGTGGCTAAAGGGACTACTTTCATTCAAGTCTTGCCACTCAACTTAGGTGCTAATTAAAATATTATTTACAAGAATCTCTTTGGAAAAATCATTAATTCAACAATTATTAAAATAAGATGTATAAAAATGAGCATTAATAACAAAGGTTAATTGTTTTCTCATCTGAGATAATAAGCTACAATTCATTCCAAAAGTGGTAGGTTATTTCAAAAAATATTTATTTTAGATAGATGCACACATAGCCCACCACCAATGATGGTAGGGATTAGAAGACAACAAGTACTTTATATAATTTTCAATTTTTTTAATCATCTTTATAAAGTCTAAGGGACTTCCAAAATATATTTATACTTATAGTATGATTGTATAATATACTATGAAGCTTGTTAGGACCCTTGCTATTATAAAGAAATATGGATACCATATTGTTCATCTGTCAGCACTAAAAAGTTGAGTTGTTAAGTTGCAGTTGTGAAGTTGTCGGCTGCTATGATGGATATCCTAACACCTGTTTTAATTTAATTTAATACATATATAATTTAGAAAAAATAGTATTTTACATTTTTGAAAATACAAGATCGAACCAATCTCATATCCTCAAGTAGTTTAAATAAATGAACCTAATACTGCAAGCAATGTATCTACCCCGAAGAGTAAATACACTACTTACAAGTAAGACTCGATTAAATAAATTAAAGATTGTATGACATTCGTTTAAATCTGTGAAAACTATTTTCTTTAAAAGCCGACAATTTTCTCTATTTAATACAAAGAATTAAATATGGTTTATATTAAGTTGGGTTTAGAAATGTTTCCTATAAGGGCAAGCCCTTATAGTTAATTACATCTTAAATAACTGAAGTCACCTAAGAAAACTCTTGATAAAAATCAAGGAATATTGTCTTCAAAGAGGTCAAAGGATTAGGACTTTTCAATAAGGTCAGACAAAGAGGTGTGAAGGGGAATTAATCAAGTTTGAAATATTTTATTATAGAGTCCAAAGGAGGAAGAACTAGGAGATGTCACAGATCCAAAGGAGAACCTCGGTGGCTTCCTAAGCTACTCTACTATTTGGCTTCAATTTTGGAGATTAGAATTATTGAATGTTTCATCCTATCAATTTCATCCTAAATGTTTCATCCTATCAATTTTATTAATTAGGGCTTACATTCGTGTGAAACGATCACACAAATAGC